AAACCAAAAAAATAGGGAAATAAAACCAAAAAATAGGGAAAAAAACTTGGCTCCAAAAAGCATGGAATCCCCTCCACCCTAACATTAAGACCCGCGCACCCCGCTCCCCCCCCTGCTATCATATATTCCAAATGGATTTTTATGTAAGTGGCTGCCCTGGACTGCAGATACGTTGTTGGGGTCTTGTGCTTCTCGCCGCTGCTATCTAGATGTCCTGCGGTGCCGGGAGGGGGCATCCAAACCCTCCAATTTCTTCCTCAAATAGACAAGCCTGAAAAAAATGCCAGCATGTCTCTGTAGGCCGCATGTCAATACATGGTCTACTTGCTGAGCCCGGTGAGGCTTAATCTCTTCCTTCTGCAGCTTCATTGGCGCGATCTCCATCTTGGTCAGTCTTCCACTGGTTATCCGGACACGCGATGCTTGGCTTGATTGGGAGGTGGTGTGTCTTTCCCAGAATTACGATTCCCAATTGGGAGCTTTTTATAGTCAGGACTTTAGAAGTCTGGCTTGTCCGAAAGAGTTCTAGTGAGGCTTTCATTGTGACGGACTCATTGGGTTCTTTCGTATTGAGGCCTTCTGGGCGTCTGAGAACAGCTGGGGGGATGCAATAGCAAAAGTGGAGTTTGGGGTGGAAATTTGGGGAACCAGCGAGCCCCGAATGTGGTAAGTTGCAGGACCTCAAGAACAATGAGAAGAGGGTTTAAGGGTTTAGGGTTTAGGGTTCAGGGTAGCGGGATGGCTCCGTATAGGGCTTCCGGCCTTATAGTAGGACTTCGCCATGGGGTTTGCATAGTCAGCGTTCAGGGTTTAGGGGTTCGAGGTTTCGTCGAAGAGCGATGAGAGAAGCCGATATGTGATTACCAACAGGGCTTTTATGATTACCTCTGATCGTAGAATTGCCATCACCATAAACCAGCTGGCAGCATTATAATGACACATTTGTTGTCATCATCATGAGGCCCCTACTGATTTCATCAGTACCAGGATTGTCCAGAAGGGTTTTTTGCAGCAGTTAGATTGTGGTGACCCTGAGTTCTTGTAGAAGGACAGCAGCTCCATTCCAGTTCCCCTCGTTACCGCGAACATGATTAGTTCTCTGGCGGCTTGGAGTGCACTTGAGCATCCCCCAAAGACATTAGGGAACGGAAATAAAGATGGAAGCTACCATATTATAGTCCCCCTTAAGTAGATAGAATATGGCTTCGGTTTTAATAAGATCCCCATATACCCCATATTCTATCTACTTAAGGGGGACTATATCTGTATTCAAGGTTCAGCGATGTGCTTTGCAAGCCACCCCGAAACCTTAATGATTGCAACGCCTACGTTGCTGAGAGCGCATTGCTTCCCGAAATTCAGTTCAACGTTCCCGCGTCCCCAAATGACTGCAAAGTGAAGCACACGGCTTGTGGTTCAGGGTCTAACGTTCCGGGTCATTTAGGTCTGGGATCCAGGGTCAGGGTTGCAGACACTTCAGGAGGAATCAGTACACGCCACGGAACAGGGAACACAATTATATCCTGAGGGTCCAAGTAACCATGGGTAGGGGTATAAGTGGAAATGCTGATCTTACAAGACGGGCTTCAACATAAACTCCAAAAGGTTCTTACTGGTATTAGTAGTAGTATTATGACAACCATTAAGATTCCTACCCATATTCCTGCTAGTTTTATGTTTATGGGTTTATGAAAACTAGTTTACTGCAGCCATTACTTTTCCTACTATTCTTCCTAGTCAGAGAAACGGGGCGATCGTGGAGATAATGGTAAAGACTGAGAGGCCATTGATCTGGATTTCGGGTTCAGGGTTTAGGGTGTGATCTAGAAGCTTGGTTGTACGAGAGCTCTTACCATGAATTTCTACAATTCCACAACAGTTCCTTGAAAGATTTTCAATTCCTTGTTACGTTCTCCATGGTTT